TTCCAAGCTGTGGAGATCCACGTAGACCTATTTGAGATTCTTGTCTATTTGGCGTATCCTATGTTTACCACATGGTGACAATGGTGGTAATAAATAGAAGATATTCAATTTTTTATAGTTGATATGGAATTTATTTCACGAGTGGGACAGAATTTTTTTTTTTATATTTTCATGAGTGCGAAGCACGAGTGAAAATATGAAAAATCCTGTCTCACGATACAATACACATTTCTAGGCATAATTTATGCTTGAAATACACCCTAATTAATGCATATTATATTGTAAACTTTAGATATTAAACTTTCATTCCATACCCAAAAAGGATCACAAACATGTCAGCTGTTTTTACTATTGTCAAAGTGAGGCATGTGAATTTCCTACATGCACTACATTTCAGCCTGCTGACCTTCACCTTTTTATTGTAGCTTCCGTAAAATAAAGAGCCCCCAAAGTTTTTTATTCTACCACATTTGATATAACGCAAAAAATACACACTGTGCATGAGATTTCATGCCAAATTGGTAAATTAAAATGTTTCTTTCTTTTATTAAACAAAAGAAATATATAAATTTTTAAGTGATAAGTACAGTATTAGTTCTTGAAATTCATCATATTTATTATTGAGGGGAAGGAGGGATTGATGAGAAAAACTACGTGGATTTAGTTTTTTGTCAGACATTGAATTTTGATAATGCCCCTTTAAGACGTGTCACAATTTGTGATAATGGCATGGAAATATTCCCTCGCTGTAACCAAATCTTTGAAAAAGAACAAAGAGTAAGTGCAAACAAGTTTATTATAGTGCTCCAAAAAAAATGCAAAGAATATCTGCACACCTCCACACACACTCAACACGCACATCTACAACACTCGCACAAATAAAAACAAACAAACAAACAAACAAAATAATAATAAACAAAAAAAAAAAATAATGATAGTATCAATATACCGACTATAATAGAGTCATACCAGACCCGACAAATGTTTTATTGCCATGTGCGAATAAAATCAAAATTGGAAACACTGACTGGCGAGACCACAGAGGTTGACCCAAGACGTTACCGTATACTGTTCATGTACACACAGTCGTTGGTTACTCATGGAATTACGGTTACGATACTGTCCAAAGGTCGCACGTCCCTCTAGCCTTCAACGCCTTAGTACGTAGAATTTCCTCGAATGTCTCAGTATGCCATAATGTTCATCTGCTACTGTAAACACGCACATACACAGATGGTCACCTATAATAACACATTATTTAAAGGTCTGGGTTTCCATAGTCGGTAATAAACGCATTCATAAGGAATACTTGAATATGTCGGGTACATTATCTAGTACAAATAAAACTGAACTTAACAAAGTAATGAAATAATAACTTTTTCTTTAAAAAAAAAAAATAACAAAAAAAACCTAGCTAACAAAATATACAGTTCAAACTCACCGCTGCCAAAGTTCTCAAAATTACTCTACTGTCCACACAGGAAAACTCGAACACACACAAAACATTCAGGCCCAAAGCACGTAGCTATTTCTCTCGCGACCACACAGGTCATACAACATTTGTACTTAGGAAGGACACACCTTCTCACTTCTACGGCCTGCTCAGAACTAACTTACACGTAGACAAAATTGTTAAAACCGGTCTGGCAGCCGTGACCAGCTATCCGTAACGACTATACGATGAGAATGAACCTATGGTACACCATAACCAACATAATCAAATTAAACAAAATTGTGACAATACCTCCCCTTTTAAGTTTCAAAATTGGAAATCATATTTTGAGAGTAAACATGAAACAACTATATTTACAAAACATGACGACTCAAAAAATCAGCGCCCACGTTATCAACACCTTTGATAGCATGAACTACAAAATTATAGGACTGCAGAAAGATGGCCCAGCGCATTAACCTACCATTTGAAACTTTTGATCTGTTCAGATACACCAATGGCTGATGATCTGTCTGCAAAAGGAAAGTCCTACCGTACAAGTATGCCTGAAATTTTCTTACAGCCCATACAATAGCTAAGCACTCTTTCTCAATCACAGAATAACTTCTCTCTCTTTCATTCAACTTTCTACTGGCATATGCCACTGGAAACATTTTCTCATGCATTTGCAATAAAACAGCACCTATTCCGCAGTCGGAAGCATCTGTTCTGAGAAAGAAATCTCTTTTAAAGTCTGGGAGTCTCAGAATTGGGGCATGTAACAGTAATGACTTTAAATTCATAAAAGATCTCTCATGTTCATCGCACCATTCAATTTTATTTGGGGTGCCTTTTTTTAGTCAAATCCGTCAAAGGACAAGCAACAACAGCAAAATTGGGAACAAACTTACGGTAATAACCAATCAGTCCCAAGAAAGAACGTACCTGTTTCTTGGTTTCAGGACGAGGGGCATTCTTGATTGCTTCAAGTTTGTCATTATTAGGTCGCATTACACCATTTCCAACTGAGTGACCTAAAAAATCAAGTGAGCTAAAACCTATAAAACATTAAAAGGTTTTGCATTCAGTTTCCCCGACCGTAGTCTTTCTAATAGACACCTAATAGACACCAAATGTTCTTCCCAAGTTTGAGAATGAATTAAGATGTCGTCAATGAAACTATCGGTATATTTTAAATCTTTCAACAGAACACGCATCATACGATTAAATGTCGCCGCCGCGTTTGATAAACCGAATGGTATTACTTTGAACCTAAACAAACCATCAGGAGTGACGAATGATGTCAGGTCTTTGTCCTCGTCCCTCATAGGAATTTGCCAGTATCCTTTGCAAAGGTCTACTTTAGTAAAATACTTACTTTATCCAATTCTAGCAAAAATTTCCTCGGGATCAGGCATTGGTTCGGCATCAAACACTGTCACCTTGTTTAGCTTTCTAAAGTCGATGCATATTCTCTTAGAACCATCAGCTTTCTTGGCAACAACAATAGAGCTGGCGTGCGGAGATTCGGACGGCTCTATAATGTCCATCTCAATCATTTTCTTGATTTCTTCCCTAACGGAATCACGCAAAGCAAATGGAATTTGATACGGCTTGTTGCGAATAGGATCCGTAGTTGTCAGATGTATCTCATGTTGAGCCAAATGAGTAAGATTAGGTAAATCAGACAAAACATCTTTGAATTCTGATAAAATCTTTTTGACGTCCTCTTGTTGCGATTCAGTCAGATCCGCGTCAACATTCACGTTTTCAAATGTTTCCTTGGCTTCGGAAGGCGGTATCTCTAGAGGGAAATCACTCTCGACTTCTAAATTCTCACCATCTTGAGGTATTTCTTCTTCTATGACAGAGCAAGAACTAAGAACTTCAGGTGAATTTGTTTCTCTTTCAACATACTTCTTCAAAAGGTTAGCGTGGAAAGTCTTGATTTTGCCCTGAACATCAACTTTGTAGTCAGCCATTCCACATTTGGAAACGATGGTAAATGGACCCTTCCATTGCATGAGTAGCTTATTGTTGTCCGTTGGAAGGAGGATTAAAACCTTGTCCTGGACACTGAATGAACGTGACCTTGTTTTCCGATCGTAATATTTCTTATAGCGCTGACTGGACTTCTGTAAGTACTTTCTAGCTAATTCACATGTCTCTTCTAAGCGCTCTTTCAAGTCGATCACATATTGATAAGTGCTCTTGACTTCTGGGTCTTTTAATTCCTTCGTCCATATCTCTCGTAGAACTGTCATCGGTCCCCGGACTGATCGACCATATAATAATTCAAATGGGGAAAAACCCATGCTATCTTGAGGAACTTCGCGGTATGCAAACAATAAAGGTGCTATATACCTGTCCCAGTCTTTGGGTCTTTCAGCAGCCATACGTCTAAGCATTTGTTTAAGTGTTCCATTGAACTTTTCAACTAAACCATTGCAGGCAGGATGGTACGGAGTGGTTGTTAGTTGTGCAATGGAAAGTAGACGACCTACCTCTTTCATAAGGTTAGACGTAAACTGGGTTCCCATATCTGATAAAATCTCCTTAGGAATTCCAAGTCTAGTGAAGAATTCAAACATTGCCTCAGCAACACGTTCCGTCTCAATGCCTTTCAGTGCGACGGCTTCAGGGTACCTTGTACTGTAATCTACCATAGTGAGTACATACCTATCGGTTAAAATTGGCCCAATCAAATCTACAGCAACTCGCTCAAATGGAGTATCAATGAGGGGCATTGACTCTAGTGGAACTGGGGAGACCTTACCTTTTGGTACGGTTCGCTGACACACGTCGCAGGATCTACAATATCTTCCTACATCTCCTTGTACTCCAGGCCAATAAAAGTTAGACAATACCCTATCCGTTGTCTTTTTAATTCCCAAGTGACCAGACAGTACACAATCATGTGCAAGTTTCATAACTGTAATGCGGTGTGGTGAGGGAACAACAAACTGTCTAAAAATGTTATTGCTACTCACCTTCGGAGACTGAAAATATCGGAACAACAGATCATCTTCAATGACAAACCAAGACACATTCTGTTGTCCTGTGAACTTCCGAACACCAGTCCTTGCATATTCCCGATACTTATCCAGTGTAGCGTCCTCATTTTGTGCAACTCTCATATCATCTACTGAGGTAAAATTGTCAGTGATACTAGTTACCTTCAATGTTTTGTACTTTTCTTTTTCCTTCTGAACTTGATTTCTTGTCTGTACGGCTGAGCCTACCACCAATTCTTGTGTATCGATTTCCACAACTTCGTTGTTATTTCTGCGAGTGTCCCATTTTGGATCAGGGTCTGATGGATCTCTGGCGCCGTCTATATTACCTATGATTAAACCATAGACTGGGTTGTTCATACATAGAGCTTTGACCTTACCTGATATGAACGGTGTATGTATGTTGATGTACGCCTCAGGAACTTTCCGGACAGTTCCGTCAATGAGTACACATTCCACATTCCGCCCTGTCAGCTGGTCTTGAGAAACTAGACTGTGTTTTACTACAACCCCACTGCATCCACTGTGTCGCAGAACCTCCACAGGATGATTACCTACATACCCATCTGAAACTGGCATATTATGACAAACACGACAAGCTCCACCAATAACTGGTAACATATGTCCACAGCGTAATGTTACTTGATTGTTCTGTATACAACAATCTTTTAGTTTATCTGACAAAATGCACAAAGAACCTACATGTTTACCTGATTCAGGGGATTGGTTTCCTAGTTGATTCTCTACCTCAACATCCAATTTCTGGTGCTGTGACTTCGTAGATCGGGAAGTAACCCTTGATGAAGAACCAGAGGTTAACATCGCTGCGCTTTTGTAAGTGTGGGTACGATTTCCTTTCTTAAGCCTGTCAAAACAATCTCTAGCGATGTGTCCAGTTCGACCACACTCATAACACTTTCTATCATTCTTACCTGTACTTGAAAAAGGTTTCTTTTGAACCGTTGTTGATGTTGACCTCACATCATCGGTCGCTACTCGATAATTTGTGCGATCGTAAGAAAATGAAGAAGTGCCATGCGCTTCAATAAACTGTTCTGCTAAACGCGTCATTTCCTTAACATCTTTCGGGTGACGTTCTCGTAAGAAAGTAGCTAAAGTCTTACTACAATTTGAAATAAATTGTTCGCGCAACATAAGATCTTTTAAGCCTTCAAACGTTGATGGGGATTTCGCGAGTTCCATCCACCTTTTCAGATAATTGTCTAAATGCGCGAAGAATTGAGGGGGATTCTCCCCTTTTTCTGGCTTACTACTTCTGAATTTCTCGCGGAAACCTTCTTCAGACAATCTAAACCTCTGAAGCAACGAACATTTGAGCTTATCATAATCAAATGCATCGCCAGGAGATAAACGAGAGTAAACCTCAAGAGCAGTACCTGTAAGCAAAGCACTAAGATTTATTGACCATGTATCCTTAGACCATTTAGCATTTTCTGCAAACCTTTCAAATCTTTGTAGATAAGCGTCAATACAGTCTCTTTGATCATTAAATGGAGGAAGTTTGGGCAACTTAGCACGACTTTGAACAGACACATCAGGGGACATGGGGGCACTTTGATGCTTAGAGTTAATTTCTAATGCTAATGCCTCTGCTTTTGCACTCTCTAACTGAATTTGTTTTTCCAACAATGCCAAATGATTGTTTGATTCTTTCATTTGCATCTCCATGCTCAACTCTTTTTCTTTTCTCCTAGACTCTTGCTCACATTGCACTATCTGCAAATCAAGTTCTTTCTCTTCTCTTTTCGCCTCTCTTTCCTTTGCTTTCTCCTCTCTTAACAATTTATCTTCTTCAATTTTTCTTTCAGCTCTCTCTTTTTCTCTAACATATTCTAACAACTGATCTCCTTGCAAACCTAACTTTTGCCCAATCTCTACTAATTTCTCTAACTCTTTCTCCATTTTCAAAGTTCAGTTAAATCAGCGTAAGGATAATGTGATCTTAAATATTTCCATCCCGGACGAGCCCCCAATTGTCACAATTTGTGATAATGGCATGGAAATATTCCCTCGCTGTAACCAAATCTTTGAAAAAGAACAAAGAGTAAGTGCAAACAAGTTTATTATAGTGCTCCAAAAAAAATGCAAAGAATATTTGCACACCTCCACACACACTCAACACGCACATCTACAACACTCGCACAAATAAAAACAAACAAACAAACAAACAAAATAATAATAAACAAAAAAAAATAATGATAGTATCAATATACCGACTATAATAGAGTCATACCAGACCCGACAAATGTTTTATTGCCATGTGCGAATAAAATCAAAATTGGAAACACTGACTGGCGAGACCACAGAGGTTGACCCAAGACGTTACCGTATACTGTTCATGGACACACAGTCGTTGGTTACTCATGGAATTACGGTTACGATACTGTCCAAAGGTCGCACGTCCCTCTAGCCTTCAACGCCTTAGTACGTAGAATTTCCTCGAATGTCTCAGTATGCCATAATGTTCATCTGCTACTGTAAACACGCACATACACAGATGGTCACCTACAATAACACATTATTTAAAGGTCTGGGTTTCCATAGTCGGTAATAAACGCATTCATAAGGAATACTTGAATATGTCGGGTACATTATCTAGTACAAATAAAACTGAACTTAACAAAGTAATGAAATAATAACTTTTTCTTTAAAAAAAAAAATAACAAAAAAAACCTAGCTAACAAAATATACAGTTCAAACTCACCGCTGCCAAAGTTCTCAAAATTACTCTACTGTCCACACAGGAAAACTTCTCGAACACACACAAAACATTCAGGCCCAAAGCACGTAGCTATTTCTCTCGCGACCACACAGGTCATACAACATTTGTACTTAGGAAGGACACACCTTCTCACTTCTACGGCCTGCTCAGAACTAACTTACACGTAGACAAAATTGTTAAAACCGGTCTGGCAGCCGTGACCAGCTATCCGTAACGACTATACGATGAGAATGAACCTATGGTACACCATAACCAACATAATCAAATTAAACAAAATTGTGACAAGACGATAAAATTGAACTGGTATTCCTTGTTAACAGGCAAGGAATTATCAAAATATGGAGTTAAAATTTAACAAATGGTATCATATCGACATTATAAATTCGGAATATATAAAATAATGGGGATTATTTCTATGCATTTTTATTCCGACAAATATTACGCAAATTTTTCCCTAGGAGGTGTTGGCTCAAATCGCAAGGGGAAGAGGTCCGAGGCATAGCTTTAGTAATTTTACTATGTCAGTTTAAATAAATTTGAGTTTTCCAGGGATCCGGTGTAAGGTTGAATATTGATTCGAGTTGAAAATTGACCCGAGATTCATTTTTCAACGTTGAATATTGAACCGGGGGTGCTTTTTTCTCCGTTGAAAATTGAAACCCAAAATCGTTGAATTTATACCCGGGGTCATTTTTCAACAGTTTGAAATTTTTTTTCTAATCTCTGATGACCTCAACACGTTGAAAAATTGACCCTGTTGAATATTGACCCCCACTACAGAGTTTGACTTCTTTGAACTGGGAAGTTGTTTTACGGGATTAATCAGTATCTATATATTCATATTTCGGTTTTAAAGTTTTCCCTTTTCAAGAATAATAGAAATAAGCCTATCATCCCGAGTATATATGTACATTTTTTATCAATACACGATTACACTTATTTTCATGCATGACAACCTTACTTTTGGCATCACTTTCTAAAATTCATACATCTATAAATAATTACATGTACGAATCTATAAATAGGCCATAAAACAAAAACCCTGGAAATTCCAGAGGTGGGATCTGGTATCTAGAAAGTGAGCCCTATATATTGATCAGGTGGACAGAACACTCCATCTAGTCAAATCCAGTATAAAAACAAAAGCAAAAGCCTTACAATTAGCATGAAACACACCGGCCAAAATAAATCCAATGATAGGTTGGTTATATTTGTGAAAAAAGGTCAACAAAGCGACCATAGCATTTAAGTACTCCCTGTAACAAACTTATCTGTCGGTAGCCTGCCTCGGCTTAAAAATTAATCTTACTCGGAGCAAACCTTGAGAATGGATTAAGTTGGATATGTAAACACCATATTATGGCGTGTAAAACGTTGCATTATTATACTTTTTTGTTATTTTTATTCAAAGAGTTTATTATTCTAAAACATATTCCTATTCGATAAAATGTTATTTCTATTCCATTAGTTGTTATTCCTATTCGTAAAAATGTGATTCCTTTTCGATAAATTGTCATTTCTATTCGATAAATTGCTATTCCTATTAGAAGAAATATGATAATATGATTCCTATTCCAAAATATATCATTCATATTCGAAAACACGTGTTTCCTATTCGATAATTTTGTCATTTCTATTCAATAATTTTGTCATTCTTATTCGAAAATTATGTGATTTATACGTTATTGTTCCCATTCGAAAAGATATCCATTTCTTTTCGAAAAGATACGATTCTTATTTGATAATCTTCTTATTCTTATTCGATAATTTTATCTTTCCTATGTGATGTTTTCTTATTCTTTTTCAATAATTGCATTATGGGCGTCTTTAATTTCAGATTCAATGGGATATATCGAGTCAACATATGAACTAAAGTAACTATTGTTACTTGATCATACGTCAACGATGTATCAAAATGACGAGTTGAAGGCCAAAGCAAGTTTTTTCTTCTTCTCATGTAAATTTTTTTAGATAAATTCTTCTTCATAGAGATTAAAAAACAGGCCGGCTTATAAAGGAGCACAATTAGTGCCCATCGAAATTCCAAACTTTTGTTGGAAGACCCTGTCTCCGAAGATTACAAAAGCGGTGTCAATTAATAACTCCAGCCACCTTTTAACATCAACTTCAGGATACTTTAAGGTAGAATCAGGGTGATTTTTAACAACGTGATTTTGTTGATGACCTATTACAAGATACGAAAATTTCCGACTTCCATTTTTATTGAGGAAGCAGTTGTCCATGATAAATTGTAGAGTTTTAAATTTGTCGTAAGGAATGTTTGTAAAGACTGTACAAAAGTCGTACGTTTTGATATTACTGACTTTTAAAAAAAGTATCGATTTCAAATTTTCTAAAACGTCTTTAGAGATTTTTTTTAGAATCCACATCTGATTTGCAATACCTATAGAATATGCTGTAGCGCACTAGATCGGAATATTTATTTTTAAAAAGTTTTATATGAGAAAAGATCGAAAATCTTTTTTGCAAGATAAACAAGAGACCCATGGGCCACATTACTCACCTGAGCACTGTGGCTTGGAAAAAACAAAAATCGGTTCAGTTTTGAAAAGCTTAAATGCATAAGTGGTCCCAATCTACCCCAATTAAAGAGGGGGTTGGGTGATTTGAACAAAATTGAATCTACACTAACTAAAGATGCTTACATATTTCTTTGACTAACTGTGACTTTATTCCATACAAGTTTGAACTCTCATTATGGTCCCGCCCTCCCCCTGGGGGTCATGATTTGAACAAATGTGAATCTACACTATCTAAGGATGCTTCCATATAATATGACCAACCATGGCTTTACTGTTCTTGAAAAGAAGATTTTAAAAAAATTGTATGTTTTACTATGTATAACTTTAATCATCAATTGTGGCCCCACCCTTTTCCCAGGGGGTCATGATTTGAACACACATGAATCTACACTACCTTAAGATACTTCCGAATAGTTAATAACCAATCATAGCTTTGCTGTTCTTGAGAAGATTTTTCTTATATACTCCAATATAAACTTCGATCGTCCATTGTGGCCTTGTCTTACTCCAAGGGGTCATGATTCGTACAAATTTGAATCTACAATACCTGATGATGCTTTCATATAAATATGACCAATCATGGTTATGCTGTTCTTGAGAAGATTTTTCCTATATACTCCTATGTAAAACTTTGACTGTCCATTGTGGCACAACCCTACCTCCGGGAGTCATGATTTGAACAAACTTAAATCTACACCACTGGAGGATGCTTCCATATATATAATGACCAATCATAGCTTTGCTGTTATTGAGAAGAAATTTTTTAAAGATTTTTCCCATATATTCCTATGTAAAATTTTGATCGTCCATTGTAACCCCACCCTCCCCCCCAGGGGTCATGATTTGAACAAACTTGAAACTACACTACCTTAGGATGATTGCACATGAGTTTCATCTTCATCACAATTATACGCAAGTGGAGGTTTTTCAAAGGGGATCAAAGTTTTACATCAGATTATAAAGAAAAAAAATCTTCAAAAGTCTTCAAGAACAGCAAGGTCATGATTGTAAATCTTGAAATACAAGCATCCTTGAGTAGTGCATTAAAATTTGTTCTAGTCATGGCCCCAGGGTATTGGAGGGGGGAGGGGGTAGTATAGGGGATCAGACATGTAGCTTTGTATACATTGTAATTTATTGGATTAAAGTTTCAATAACCTTTAAAACGTACCAGGACCTCAAGTATTTCCATGTGTTGATCGAGGTCTGAATAGGTCAAGACCCCCGCCCCTCCCCACTAGGGGGTTCAAATTTTCATGTGAAGAAAGAGGGAATAGTTCGTAAAAATCAACAGCTGCTGAACAAAGGTTAATCATTGTGGCTTATGGACCTATTTGCATTGTCTCTCAGTGGTAAGGGGGGGGGGATGTTTTGTCATCTGAACAGAGTTTTACATGTATAATCTTTGATCAGAATAGTTTGCTTGCCTAAGCTTTTGGGTTAGGTAAGGAAAAATGATTTTAGCTTCTCGAAGAGATAACAGATTTTCAGAGAATCGCTCTCTCCCCTTTCCCTTATACACTATCAAGAACAGTTTTCTTTATGCCTTTCGTATACATACAAACCGCATTATTGAGAACTAGACTGAACCAAGATTAAACTCAGATATTCAATGATTCGAAATAACCAGTGAGTGT